CCGGCATAAAAACATCCCCAGCCCCGCTGAATGACGAGGTCGAGCGCCCTCCGTAGCTCTGAATGAGCGCAATGAGCCGCCTGGCCTGACAGGTGGCGCGTTCGAACCGCTCATGAGACTGACTTATGACGCGGGCTCAGCGGTGGGGTGACTGCTATGGGACGATCTCTTTTCAGTGTAGTTTTTGCTGTACGGAAGATGCCAGGGTAACGGTACAGTGTTTTGATATAGGCCTGCTAATGGCCACGATAGGATCGTCTATGACAGTCGTTAAAAGATGCACGATATTTAGATGCTTGTTTACTGCAGAATTATGAGAGCAATGACTTTGGCTCTTTTGCGTCCAATGGCGAGGAATGAATGAAAACGTTCCCTTTTTCAAATTAAAATATTACTCCTTAGTCCTTTATCCATGCAATATCAGCAAAACGACTGGCGAATAATGGTTACTTGCTGTTTATTTAATTACATTGTTGATCGGATAACGAGAATGATTCAACAATGAGCACTCGAGCAAATAGCAATCGACTTTGCAAAGTAAACTCACAGATCAGGTGACTGGTCGGTGGTTAACAAACCCCGTCGGCAACTCCAGTCGGTAACAAACATGATGCGCATGGCTAGAACAGGTTGCACTTTATCCAACTGTGCCAGTCACTTACCTAAATACGCGGGTCCAACAGCTGTGCTAACGCAAAACAAGCTACCATTTACATAACACGACAGTCTTTTGTCGTCCCATGACGTAAAAAGAAAACGCCGCCGCGACGAGCCAAGACATCTTAGAAACACTAATGGCTTTGTGGGTGTCGCGCTGTGCCGGGAGCGTCCGCTCGCCGAGACACATCGCCTGACGCTGAACTATGACACTTCGAGCTGATCTCAAGGGAGCGTTTGGGGCCGCTGCTTTTCCCTTGTCTCTCAGAGCTCATGGTAGCCACCTGACGGAGCCGGAAGTCCTCCCAATCTGAGAAGACAGCTCTGGGGCGCTCAGCGGCTCATCCAAGGGATATGACGGCCTGACACACCCGCTGACAGCCCGTCAACAGTGCGCCGAAATAGTCACAGGGGGTGTCCCGTCACAGAGAGCTCGTAGCTAATCTGACAAGGTGCCACTACGACTCGTGAGGAGCTGGGAGCTCCAGAAATGGGATCCAAAGAGGGGGAGAATGTGTGCAGAAGGGGGCGAGCTCGATAAACCGAATTGGTGATGGCGGTGTCAGGTTTTAACAGATAATATCGCCTGTAATTTCTGTTGTAAGTTTAAACAATTTAATCTGCTTTTTTGTTAAAAACATAAGCCGCTCAACGCTAATAGCTTAACCCGGCAGTTGCTGGGGTATTTCGCCACCCACCGTTTGCTGGGGGGGGGGCGTTAAACGCCCCCAGCCGATAACTCGAGAACCAATAGGCGCAGCGAAACGCACGAGGCGGCAAACGAAAGAACGCGACGAGACGCTTCAGATGAGTACTTCAAAGTTGAATTTTGAGGTCACAGGTCGGGTCGAGGTCAGGTCAAACACCTGAAATCGGGCTTTCAGTAGCATGGACTTCAGGACTTCGCAATGGGCGCCTCTCGTCATAAACTCTGTCCAAACGGTGCACAATCCATCATATAAGGCCTACAAGAGTGTCAGCTCCATGTAGGGGTCAGTCAAGCATAGGTCAGGGTCAAGGTCAGGTCAACCGGGCAGGCACATATCCCCGAGAATCAAAACTGATATTCGTAGCCTGTGACACAGGTTTTATGGGTAATTTGGGGCGTAGAACACGATGGTGACATTCATTTTATCATATGTGTACGTATTTGGCTAAAAAAGTTCTATTTAAGAAATGCATGTATCAGGGTCGTGAAGAAGTCACGAGAAATTGCCAAGATTCAGTTCAAGATTTTGGAAAATGCGGAAGGATAATCAATAATCTAAGACAGCCATTTGATTGTACATGGTATTGGCAGTCTAACGGCGTTTACGGCATGTCTGTATGTCTATTCTGTGATTTTATATGATTTTTTGAACATATGCCGTTTTTGGTCGAAAACTCAGAAATCATGACGTCACTGAAACCTCGATAACTCAAAAATTTTCCGACCGATTTTTTTGAAACTTTGTCACAATAAGCTTCAATCAATTCCCTACAGGTACCCAAAATTTGGCGCGCCTGCGGCGCGCCGTTTTTGTGCTATGGCCCGGCGAAAAAAGTGGGGGCGTTTAACGCCCCCCCCCAGCAACTCGCGGGTTAAGATAATAAATTTGGAAAGATCCTGAGTTTCTGTCTGCAGTTGTCATACGTTATGATGCTCTGTCAGCATTAGCAGTCCAAACAAACAAATAATGCAATTTGAAGCTAAGCAAAGAAAATGTATACCAACTCCATAGTACCGTTTGTTATCGTCATTTTTATCATGTCACTGTCCCGACGTCGAGCTGTGCATGACGCCCATTTTATTAGCGTCTCACAGACATCTCGTTACCAGAGTATGTATGTATGTATGTATGTATTTACCGAATAAGGTCGCTCCACTGGTGCAGGGCTATTCTGCGACCTTCGTCATATACAATGCAATATGAGCACACAATGAACACTTCATAAAAGAGTCGACCGCATCAAGACCGGCGAGTTTTAGACAATACTTTACAGCAAAACTATCTTCAGATTTCATGCAACGGTTTAGAATTGGCTTGTTTCGTAATTCATGGCCAACATATTATGTACATATGATTCACAGATAACCTAACTGTAACTATAACATAAATAAATGCATCGACAGTCACTTAAAAGCACAGAAAGCACGGAACTGGTATGAATCAAGAATGCGTATCATTTACGTAGAGCGCAATGGTATGCCGAATTCGCAAAACAATTTTCAAAACAAAACCCTGGTACAATACCATTTAATGCCTTCGAGACACTCACTCATCACGGGTACGGTAAAGTCTGAGCGTCACCTCCATAGACGCATTCGCCGCCATTGACCCGTGGTTCATATTTACCCATAGCGCTGCTTCTATTCTCCTCTGGCACCACGTCTTTTGAAACTGACGGCGGCGTCTTTTCACACTGACAGACAGCGTATCGGGACCGCCGCGACCGACCCGACGGACGGTACGGGGGTGACCGATCACCTCGAGAGGAATGCGCCGCTACCGGGGACACACCCGGGCCACGGCGGCGACCTGTCATTCGCTGGGGGTCTCTGGGGAGAGTAAGTGGTTTGGTGGGGTGTCAGGAGGCTGAGGTGTTAAGTTTTTGTCTACCAGTCTCAGCTGCGAGTAGATGTGCGTCAGCATTGACGTGGTTCGCTGGCCGCCCGCCACTCACTGAGGGCAGTCACCGTGCCCGCTCCGATATCAGGTTTCCGTGAGGCGCATACCGCGCACCCTGAGGTCACAACTAGGTCAGTCCGATCGGCCACCGAGTGCCGGGGGGAGGGGGGAGGGGTGGCCGCTCGCCAGGAAGTCGTGTTCCATTGGCACCTCGTCATCGCACCTGGCCGTCTGTTAGTAATCAAAGCAACAACGACGACGAGACAGACGCGTAAATACGGACCGGCCGGAACGTAAACAATGAATGGAGCCGGCAGCCGCGCGGCTGTGCAATGCTCGTGTGAGCGCTGGCGTACGGACGGAAATACAGACGGGCGGAAGAGGTGCAGTTGGTGGTCTGTGGGCGTGCTAAGAGACACACGTGCGAGGAGGCCAAGCCAAACCTCGGTCAGTCACCTGCCGCCCGCGGCCCGAACAGCAACGCCGATGGTCTCTCCAGTCTGCAGCGACCACCCACGGTCCTTCAGAGATCGTCAGTGGGCCAGCAGACCAGCCTTCGCACGTCATCTGGCAGCTCTGGAGTGCTGCCAACCCCGCCACTTTGCGGCACTGACGTAGCGAGGCGATAGCGATATCCACGGGCAAATTGGTGATGCGGCTTGTCACTAACGCAAGCAAATCACGTCCGTCTCACTAAATTTCGAGTCAAAGTTTCGAGTTTCAGCAGGCCTGTTTAAAATTTGTACGTGTATTCACTGTAGCACCGACTGTCCATCAAGTTCTCTCCAAAACACAGGTCGTCGGATTAAATTATCCACCTCCATGGAACAGTCCAGACAGGCTGCATGTTGACGTTGAGTCGAACAGGCTGTCAGGCCGACAGGGTGTCTGTTGCTGTTCCTGAGTAGACTGGGCGAGTGATGCACCACAGCCAGACCCTGCATCGCTGTCAGCCCAGACGCGCTTCTGGCAGAGGCAGAGAATCTGTGTGTTTCCAGTGCCGAGGGATGGCTGTCTTACAAGTGGGTCGGACGTGTTATGACGTCATTGTCTGTGAAGGGTATCAATTGGATGACCTTGCACCTTTGGTTGAAACAGGTGAAAAAGCCCCCAACCTATGACAGGTTGGGTCAAATCTAAAGTCAAAAGCGTAACGTTCAAACTTACTTAACAATGGGATCGTTTTTATAGCTCCACTATATACCTAGTCATTGGACTAAGGGGCATCCCTCAATTATATAACCCAGATAAATAATGACGTATTTAAGGTTAAAGGTATTATCAGGGTTTTTTCCGAAATTTCGGAGTTACTCAGTGAAACGTGTAGATGAAGGTGGCTGAGGCCCCGATCCGAAGTCATTCGTCTCAAAATTGCCTAATTTCCAAATGGTGGACCTCCAAAGTTGATCCGTCTGCCAGCCAGTACCTGGAGGAGGCAGTACCAAGTACTCGGATACATTTCCCTATAAGTCCATAGGCTTAACACTAGCTAGAGACTTCTAGAGATATTTTGTATGCCAGATAAGGCCGTCGCATACCAGATAAGGCCGCAATGGCCGTTCAACGTTACGTGGGGAAATTGGAGAAATCTAAAGACTTTTTTCTCTCTGACGTCTCCACTCCGCAACTGGCAAGCGTTGTTAGCATTGGCTCGTGTCGTCGTAAATAAGATTTGTTTGACGGATATTCCGTTAGTTTAGTTATTCCGTTAGTTCTCTATATACCGTGCGTTAGTTGAGTGTGTTGTTGTAATTTCTGAGGCTGTATGAGTTGGACGGAATGGCGCCATCCCGCCAAGTGCGAAATCGGCGGTGTAGTTTGAAGGGTTGTGGAAAAACAAAGGCTGATTGTCATTTGTCCCGATCTCAACTTCTTCCATGTTCCGAAAAACCGTGTCAAGTAAGTCCAATTTGAAATGCTGGAGATTGCGGGGCAGGCACTTAGTGAAAAACAGTTGCATATTTTACGAAATTGTATTAATGTATGTTTTTATGTCAAACATGCACAAATGTAATGATCAAATGTTTGAAGTGTTTGAAGTGTTTGAACACACAAATGTTTGAAGTGTTACTCATACATCAAACAGTAAGGCGTACGAGTAAATTGTGTGGATGAAGTCTGAGTGGTCCGAGGAAAAAAAACAAGCGAACTTGACCTAAGTCCTAATATTACCTATTACCTAATAACATACTAAAATACAGCCTCCCACGAACCTACAACCTACATGCTTCAGCTTACAACCTACAACCTACAACTCGGAGTTCATCTACACATATAACTTAAGTACTCAATGTACTATCTGTGGTTACTTGTTATCTGTTACTTGTACTGGAATGGCAAGCCTTGCAATTTTCCCAGACCTTTGATCACAAAGTCATGCTGTTTTTAGGAGACTTGGTTGGGTGGCTGTCCTAGAAGATGGCTTGGCGGACAAGCAGGTTGACGAAGCACTTGTGTGTAGCTGCCACTTCAACCCTCAAGATCTTCTGCTTGGAGAAAGGGCTAGAACGTCACCACATGCCGTACCGTCAATAGCAGTCGTGGAAGGTGGGTTTGGCATTTCCTTTGTAATTGAACTGGTTTTTAGCACAACTTGTAAAAGTGGCACGAACATTGTTACATTGAACACTTGATGTGATGTAGAACCTGATAGCTGATGTTGAGTCTTGCAAATTGTATGAACAGCAGCTGGTGCATTGAGCCTGACAAGTGACGTTGGCACCCTAGTAGTCTCGTGTTTGAGTGTGGTCACCTAAAAAACTTGTGTGTAACCAACCATAAAGTTTTTAAATATAATTTTGGGATAATATTGATGTGGTGTGTTTTGGTCATATGGCTTGGATGGTGACTACCACTAATTAAGGAATGCTTCTTCACGACAATCTCCAGTCTCCTGAAGCACCATCATCTATATTTTCTTCCCAGGGATTCATCCCTGAATCACAATCATTACCTAGGCCAGATAACTTTGCTGGGCCACATGGTCAAAACAGTTGCAGCTACAGGGTAGGTATACCAGCTGTACATGTATTTGACAGACTAAACATTCTTTCTGTACATCTGGACAGGTAAACTTGATAGGCGGCCGGCGCGCGCCCATCGGCACCGGCGGCCGGCGCGCGACCATCCCATCGGCACCGGCGGCGGGCGCGCGCCCATCGGCACCGGCGGCCGGTGCGCGCCCATCCCATCGGCACCGGCGGCCGGCGCGCGACCATCCCATCGGCACCGGCGGCGAGCGCGCGCCCATCCCATCGGCACCGGCGGCCAGCGCGCGCCCATCGGGCACCGTCGGCGGGCGCGCGTCCATCGGCACCGGCGGCCAGCGCGCCCATCCCATCAGCACCGGCGGCGGGCGCGCGCCCATCGGCACCGGCGGCCGGCGCGCGACCATCCCATCGGCACCGGCGGCGAGCGCGCGCCCATCCCATCGGCACCGGCGGCGGGCGCGCGCACATCGGGCACCGTCGGCGGGCGCGCGTCCATCGGCACCGGCGGCCAGCGCGCCCATCCCATCAGCACCGGCGGCGGGCGCGCGCCCATCGGCACCGGCGGCCGGTGCGCGCCCATCCCATCGGCACCGGCGCCGGCGCGCGCCCATCGGCACCGGCGGCAGGCGCGCGACCATCCCATCGGCACCGGCGGCGAGCGTGCGCCCATCCCATCGGCACCGGCGGCGGGCGCGCGCCCATCGGCACCGGCGGTCGGTGCGTGCCCATCCCATCGGCACCGGCGGCGGGCGCGCGCACATCGGCACCGGCGGCCAGCGCGTGCCCATCGGGCACCGGCGGCGGGCGCGCGTCCATCGGCAGCGGCGGCCGGCGCGCGCCCATCGCCGGCGCGCACGCGCGCGCCCATTGCAGAGAGAGGTGATGTGATTGACCCTGTTGGCCCCCCCTCCCCCGCCCTCTGACCCGCCCGCGCGCCCCGACAGGTCGTCGTGTAGCGCGGCGCTCCGCCAGCTGCTGTGCTGGGGTTGGCGGCGCTCAGCAGCTACCAGCTGATGCAGCGCGCCGTGCTCGCTCGCCGCGGCGCAGTGTTTATAGCGCGTGCGCCGGGCGCTGACGGCAGTCGTCTGGCAGCGACAGCTCTGCCGGTGACGGCACACGCTGCTGCTGCAGAAACTGGACAAGGGCCTGCTTGGGCTCCTGGTCCTGGATCGGTACGCCGGCTCAGTCACCTGATGACAGCGGCGCACAGCGTGACCTACCCGCCCTACAGCCGGCCCAGCAGGGTGAGTAGTGAACTGAGTACTGAGTAGCGCTCAGAGTTAGCTTGAAGTTGTTTAACATGATGCACTGTTCTTCATGAGTCGTCCCCATCGCTGCTTGTGACTTGCAAGTTCCTTCTTTTTCGGCAGTGCGTCCCAGCAGCGATTTTCACCTCTGAGAAGTATAGTTGCCGTACTAGTGAAAAAGTGTATATCTTTGAAATAAACATTCCGTTTCATCTGCCCACTACCACTAACGCCCCTCTGCCCTCTCCTGCAGCGGACGGGGAGACCCACCTGACCGCTCCTTCCCCCTGTTCTGCTGCAGGCGGGGAGGCCCGCCCTGACCTTCTTTTCTACCCTCTGCCCTCTCCCGCAGCGGACGGAGAGGCCCGCCCGGGCCCAGTGCCGCACGGAGAGGCGGTGGCGCTGGAGGCCAACACCCCGGCTCGCGACCTGTAGCTGACGGTGCTGGAGCCGCGAGTCACCGTGTTGGCTGGCCATGGAGACTTGGAAAAGGTGGGTCTCCGCGCAGCGGAGGAAGGGGCGGCGGCTGACAGTGGTGGCCGCCAACGGGGAGCTGGGCGGCGTGGGTCCATGCATAGCGGGGATGTTCGAAAGGACAGCATCAGCTGCATTGTTTGAAGAGCTGCTGCAGTTGGGCGTTGAGATATGATCGCAGACTTGCAAGGAGATGGGCTCCTGAGATGCGTGCTTTTTTTTTTGCTCCGATGATCCGGCTGATCGCTGTTCTATGAGGTCGTATTACCCGCCCGCGGTCACCAGGCCGGGGAGGTATATACGTCTACAGCAGCTGTGTTATTTGTCTGTCCCGGTTGTATCACCCAGTCTTCCCCCGTCCTCAGGCCGGTGAGGTGCGTCTCCAGCTGCGCTGTCAGACGATCCAGTGGAACGAGCAGCAGCCCATGTACCCGTCCCGGCTGTGCCGGTGTGTCTCCCAGCTTGAGCGGCGCCGGCCGACCGCTGCGCTGCTCTACAACTGCCACGTCCACACACGATGCACGGTCAGTCATTATACCGAGTAATGCTAATTATAACCGCGGGTGTTTTGTTAGAATGGCCCTGAGAGTGTGCCTTTGTTGTGTGATTATTGTTGAGTGCGTTTTCTAGTTGTGAAGTACACTGTGGTAGGCTCGACATTACTACTCATTAGAAGTGGCGGGAACACTGCCCCAATGCCCTATTGTCGATTGGAAATGAATAACTACAGCCGCGGCTCCTGACTGTATCCCTTTTCCCCGTGCGCCCTATCGCAGGTGACGGCTGACCAGGCGGTGCTGGTCTCGACCGCGGCCGACGGCCAGCCCGCCCAGGAGCACCAGGTCGCCTCGCTCTCCTCAGCCTCGGTCTACTGGAAGGCGCTGCTGGCGCTGGCCCTGTGGGCCGGCTCCCAGCACCCGCTCACAGAGCAGGTGTGCCACGCCGACTGGCTGCACTGCGCCGACGACCGGGGGACCGCCGGCGCTGAGCCGGCCGGCTCGCAGCTGGACCTGCCACTAGAGACGGACCTGTGCGACCTGGACGTGCGGCTGTGTCAGACCGGCTGGTGCTGGGCCGGCGCCGCCCGGTGCGCTGTCAGCTGGACGGCCGGCCCGTGCTGGCCGCGCCCCAGGCGGCCGACGCGCCGGCTCCCGGCGGCGGCGGCGAGCGGGCGGTACGGGCGCTGCTGCAGCTGCCGACAGCTGCCGCCGCCGCGGACAGCTGCCCGCTGCTGGTGGTCGTCTCCGAGCCGGCCCTGCTCTGCTGGCAGCCGGCACTGCTGCTCTGGCTGTCCCTGGCCACTCAGCTGGCCAGCAGCTGAGTGGCCCGGCGCCGCCGCACACTGGTCGGAAACGCTCCAGCGAGAGGCCAGCGGCCTTTCCGCAAAAGTTTTTTGCTTGTTATTCCACAACTAGTGAAGCAAACTTCATAAAACTTTGCATACATTCTCTGTCATATGTAAGCCATCATTTGGATGTCAAGCACTAAATATATGACGTGAATCTGTTAAGTTATGACGTCATAATTGAGCATAATACAGGATCTAGCACCACTTTAAGTCAACAAGGGAAATTGGGAGCTGCTATTCGGGGACCGGGAATGGTTTCATGCACTCCTTGCAAGGTCCAGTGCTTCACTTTAGCATTGTTGACTTTGCGTGACGTCATTTATGACGTCACTAAGGCCATATAAGTTTTTCGTCAATAACTCCTGATCAGATGGAGCTAGAGAGTCGGGAAAGCCACCATTGGACTCAGGAAGACCTGCCGAATCGAATGATATGCGATATGACCTCCTTCAACCATTTTCGTGACCTGAGGGGCTCCGACCTGACCTTGACCCGAGGTTAACACCTTAAGTTGACTTCACCCGAACACCAAGTATAGCATTCAACGCGCCTGAGCTAGACAAACACGATGATGTCAAAATCGCGGCAGTGCGACTATTTTTTGGCAAAGTAATTAACCTAAATCCGAGCCCGTGCCTTGTGGCACTTACCTGACCTAAGAGGTCACTGGCTGACCTAAGACCTTAAAATCGGGTAGTACCTAATTGTTGCGTCTTATAACGGCACACGAGCTTGTTTTTTCCGCGAGGCTCTAGCTCAATTAGAGGCGAAACGGCGAGGGAGTTGTACCAACCCTCCCCGGTCAATATAGAAAACCAATCGTTCCGGCCAGGGTTAAATACCGGAATTGTGATCTAATGTAAAAAGACGGCCCAAGGTAACCCGACGTCAGTGACAGGTGTCCTATATTTGCAGCGTCTTATATTCACGAAGGTTTCAATTTCCACTTTCTTCAGCCGAGTGATGGTTGTCAATAGCAAGGCTCTCTAAATGCAAGCCGTAATCGCCACGCAATATGTGGAAGGCTTTTGATGTCAATACATACATAAATGCATACATAAAACGCGCTTTTCACAAAATTCATAAACTCAAGCGCATCTGTTTTTAATGACCAGTCAACTACGCATGGATGCGTGCAGGCCACACAGGTCAGCGTAAGCCGGGCGCGGCGGCCGTGCCGAAACTGGGGCGGGGCGGGCGGTAGTTGGGTAGGAAGAGCGGCTCCTGCAAATTTTGCGCAAATATGCGCAGTTAGCTTTTATGTTGCCCTGGTGTAAATTTAAATCCTGCTTCATCTCACAAAAAATCAGAGTGGAACTAGATGGGACTACCTGTTGTTTCCTTACCTAAACTTTGCAGTTATATTCCAGAATCACTGTAGGAGAACCTTCATAAAAAAGCTACAGTACATCTTAGTTAGGGAAAAAGTATACCAAAAATTTTGCACTGACAAGTCGGCAACTTCATAACGAACATTTTGATGCATAATATGTGGGATTTCAATTTGGTGTCTATCAGCAATAAGACGCTGAATATCCGGCTCAAGAAACCCCTTGCTCCGCGTCAGTTTCCGAGTTCTGGGATACCCCATCTTCGGGGGCTGATTACAGTTATTTTTGGTCACCCGGGTTAGTTTTTTTGGCCTAAGTATAATAATTTGATCAATTTCAAATCGATCTATATAAAAAATAATCCGAAACTCCGGAATCGCCCGTGGCCTCTCGTGAGGGCGTTTCCGACCAGTGTGCGCCGCCACTACCCCAGCCGCCCGAGCCGCCGCCGCCGCCGCCATGGATGTGCCCCGGCCGCAAGGACACTCGGGTACCTCGCGATCGGCACGGAGCCACACCACGGAGAGGAACCTACCCGCAGTGTCACCCAACACCTCCGCTGCGGCGGCCGTCTCCCCCACTCCGCCGGCGCCGCCCGCCGCTCCGACTTTGGCCTGGCTGCCGGCCCTGGAGCGTCTGGAGGTGCGCCTTCAGATCAGCGCGGTCACCGTCACCGTTCCGGCCGGTCCAGAGAGCGGCGGCGGGGCGGCCGGGGACGCGGAGCGGACGGCGGACCCGCTCCCCCCCGCGGCCGGCCACCACCCGGCGCCGGTACCGGGCCGGGTCCGCAGCAGCAGCGACTCGGGCCACCGGTACTGCCTGCACGGACAGCTGGTCTCTGTGCTGCCGTCAGTCCGACTGGACAGCGCTGCACTCAAATCGGCCGCCCTGCCGACAGTGCCGGAGGTGCCCGTCCGACTCACCAGACCTTCAGCGGCCGCAGGTCAGTCGCGGCCGCCGCACGGCCAGCTCATACCGGCCACTGAGGAGGGCTTTTCCATAAAACTCTCAGTGCTAGTGATTTTGGCATTGGCATGGGGGCGGGTATTGGTACTCACTACTCACCCTGCTGGGGCCGGCTGTAGGGCGGGTAGGTCACGCTGTGCGCCGCCGTCAACAGGTGACTGAGCCGGTGTACCGATCCAGGACCTCAATTATGATTATAAGTAAAACGGGATGTAGGGATGAAGTCAGCTTATGCTCAAGACTGACGTCATGACAATCGACACGTGAATATAACGGGCATGTTTGCTCCTTGCTGTCGTGCGGGCGTTCGAATCTCTCCCAGTTTGTTGGCCCGTGTCTCTCTCCCGTCCCCCGGGTCTCTCCGCCGGCTGACTCCGCTCTGTCTGTTCCAGCCGGCTCCCAGCTGCGCTCGCCGAGCCAGACGCAGCAGGTGATGTCGCCGTCGGTCGTGGTGCGCGACTGTGCGTCCATCCCGTGTCCAACGCCCCCCCCCCCCCCCACACCGCGCGCTGCTGCCGGGCCCGCCGTCGTAGTTTTATGGCCTTGCGCCGTCAGTCGCCAGCTGGTGGTGGCGACCCGTGATCGCTCGCGTACGTTCGCCGGCGCGCCCATTGCAGAGAAGGGGTTCGCGCATGCCCATTGTAGAGGGGCGCGCCCCTTGCGGAGGCGGTACGCGCTACGCTGTAGACAGTAATGCTTGTTGGGTAGCCCCTTTGCACATTGTTTGTTCATGGATGTAAATACAAGTTACATGACTGATGAGTGTAATGTTTACATTTTTGAACTAAGAAATGCCACAGGGCAGGTTACCTTGGTGAGTTTCTGATATCAACATACTGAACATAAGAGCAGAATAATTATCCATAGAGCGTTAAGGATTTTAGCCACCGAATTCACCAGTCAGTAATTGCACATGGTGGCACCATGAGCATGAGTACCTCGCCTTGTCCGATCCTTTTCACAACTAGCAAGTAGAATGTGGGAAAAGGCAGGGAACTTCAAAGCATGCGCATATGTAGATAGCTGATGATTCTCTCTGTTCAAGCACGATCTGGCACTCTGCAGTCTGTTCTGTTCCACATGAGTTGCCGGGACAGCATCACACATGAATTTTGGCATGCTTCAAACAGAAATGCCTTAATTTTCCTTAAAATATATTCATTTTTCACACAAAGACAACAAAAATGTACATGCAGGTGGGTACTGTGGCA